AGTTATTGCCCTTTTTTTATTTTTCAAAATTAACTTTTGTCAAGAGCATAACTCAAAAGGCCTTTGAGATATCATTATGAAACTTCATAGGTGCATAGATCTAACTCAGGAGGTGTGCAGTGCACAAGAATGATAACTCTACCTTTTATAATTTTTGAGTTATTACCCTTTGTTATTTTTCATACTTAATTTTTCACCTGAGCGGAGCATAACTCAAAAAGTGTTTGAGATATCAACATGAAATGTCATAGGTCATAGGTGGATAGATCTTATTGAGGAGGAATGTTGTGCGCAAGAATGATAACTCTTCCCTATACAATTTTTGAGTTATTGCCCTTTGTTCTTTTTCAAGCTTTTTTGTCCAGAGCTTATCTCAAAAAGTATTTGAGGTATTAACTTGAAACTTCAAAGGTAGATGGATCTCATTGAGGAGGAGTGCAGTGCTTAAGAATGATAACTCTACCCTGCATTATTTTTGAGTTATTGCCCTTTGTTTTTTTTCAAGATAAATTTTTGTCCAGAGCATAACTCAAAAAGCCTTTGAGATATCAAAATGAAACTTCAAAGGTGCACAGATCTCACTCAGGAGGTGTGCAGTGCACACGAATGATAACTCTACCTTTTATAATTTTTGAGTTATTGCCCGTTGTTATTTTTCATACATAATTTTTCACCCGAGTGGAGCATAACTCAAAAGTGTTTGAGATGTCAACATGAAATGTCATAGGTGGATAGATTTTATTGAGGAGGAATGCTGTGCAAAAGAATGATAACTCTTCCCTGTACAATTTTTTAGTTATTGCCCTTTGTTCTTTTTCATACTATTTTGTCCGGAGCTTATCTCTAAAAGCATTTGAGGTATCAACTTGAAACTTCATAGGTGGATGGATCTCATTGAGGAAGAGTGCAGTGCACAAGAACGATAACCCTTCCCTGCATAATTGTTTAGTTATTGCCCTTTTTTTATTTTTCAAAATTAACTTTTGTCCAGAGCATAACTCAAAAGGCCTTTGAGATATCATTATGAAACTTCATAGGTGCATAGATCTAACTCAGGAGGTGTGCAGTGCACAAGAATGATAACTCTACCTTTTATATTTTTTGAGTTATTGCCCTTTGTTATTTTTCATACTTAATTTTTCAAGTCAATTTTTTTCTCAAAAGTATTTGAGGTATCAACTTGAAACTTCATAGGTGGATAGATTTAACTGAGGAGGGATGCAGCACACAAGAATGATAACCTACCCTGCATTATTTTTCAGTTATTGCCCTTTGTTATTTTCAGCCATCAGTATTCCCCGTACGAAAAAAACTCCTGTTTTACAACTGTAAAACGACTGAAAAACACCTGTTTTTGTAAAAATACAGGTCTTAGGGACCTGTGTTTGCTGAATTTGACATTTTGACTAAGAAATACAGGTGTATTTGAACAATTTTACAGGTGTATTTTTGAGACAAGACCTATGTTTTAGATGTACACATGTAATTCTGATACTTAGAAAATATTGAGCTGATATTTTGTGCTGAAAATAATCTAAGTCCAAAACTACAACTGTATTTTCAATGATACAGATGTACAATACACACTTAGAAAATCTTTTAGAGAAATTGTTCTTATTTAAATACTTTAATATCTTTGATGCAATTATACAGACTGCATGCACATTATTTACACTTAGGATTTAATTTTTAACATTCATAATGTAAGCAACTTTGAACTAAGAGTACTATCTAAATTTGAATATACATGTACATTGTATATGATTATTTAGTTTTAAAATATATGAGATAGTTCACATAGGCATGTCCTTGTTGTTCTTTTAAGTATAAAAAGAACAACAACAAAAACTATAACAACAACAAACTGCTACATGTTCTTATTCAAGACTCCAAATTTGCAGACATTATGAGTTATTCTTCACTCTGTTAAGTTAATTGTGTATGAAATAAACTCATACATTAAGCTCTCTCAGTCTAGTTTGTAATATAAATGACCTGTTAAGTAGGATAAATAAATAAACACTGCCTCTACTACTCTACAATGATTTTACACAACTGACTGATTTTACACCTTGCACTGACCAGTCTGATAATGGTAACCACCTGTTTTCCCACCATAAATTCTGCTACAGTCCAGACTCTTCCATTTGATTTTTTTCTGGGGGGAAACAACTTTATAAATTTTAAATGAAGTCTGTTTAGAAGGAAATTGCAAAATTATCTTTAAAAACTTATTATGAATTTGAAATTCTACATTACACTTTTTTTTCTCATATGTCTATATGATTGTGAAAGTAAAATGATGGGTGCTTTGATTTGTGGAATATCCCTGTTTAACATTATGGATGATGAATCAGTCCAGTTCTTAAACAGTTGTAAAATTTGAAATCTGAGGTATTTGTGGAAATAGTGCTCATGTATCACAAAGGATCTTATTGATAATTAAGAAATTGTGGAGATATAAGCAATTTTCTAGGCAATATTTTGTATAAAATGTTTGGGTGTAAATTCTTAAACTTTTCAAAGAAAAAAATCAAGGCTACAGTCTTGTTAATGAAAATGACAATATTCTGGATTATGGGATATGCTGGTTGCAAATGAAATTTGAATCTTGGACAAGAAGATGAAAACCAGAATTATAAAAAATCAGGTAATAACCTTTGGATACATTTATGCAAAAAACAAGTATTATTTCAGGTCTGCTAGCAATTATTTTTATCAACTTTATTCTGAAAAAAATAATATTTTACATTCTATTTACCAAGTTGGAAAATAATTTTTAAATGTCACCAATAGCATTTAATTAGATACTACAATATTGACTGTTAACTGCTTTATATTTTTGAATACAGTCTTGAAGAGATGATATTAAATACATTTATACTTAACTTCTAATTAATAGGTCATAATTTATTTTCATATCTTTTATGATGAACTATGAATTTTGTTCTTAAAGGTCACAGTACACCCCCCAGAGACGTTGATCTAGTACATGAAACATTTAAGCAAAGGACTAAAACAGACATGGTAAAACGAAATTGTAGTTGAACTAATTAGAATAGTTTTGACAGAAATTCATGGTTAAACAAAATAAGTCTACCTTAATTATTAAAGTTAAGTTACCAGTTTACCACTAATAGAAACAGCTCAGTAAATATCTTTTATCAGGCAATGCATTAAGTAGGAAAATTAATACAATTTTGTATTCATTAATTGTCAAAACATAATTATATAGGTTGAAGTTAATTGGTACGTATTTAAAAAAATGAATTGGTCAGGCACTGAATATGTGCATTGATGACATTAGTACAAAATGCAAGCATTGAAAGTTACATTTAGTATTCATTTAATGATAAACTATTGATGTTTTATTTGATTCAGGTGAAGCTGCTTTAAACAGGATCTCAAATCACAATGACAGGGACCAGTTAAGAAGAGAAAACACTTGCAAATGCTTTATTCCAACTGGCAATAAATTTTTACAAGAAAAAAAACTTTATTAGCATTTGTGAATTTTTCTTCAAATGAAAGGATATGCCTGCAGTGTTATTCATGACTTAGATTTTATTGATGCAGTATCAGTAGTGTAAGACTGTAACAGAATGTAATAAAATATAGTAATCCATTTAAGACAAAGTGAAAATTTGTTATATTTATCCCCATCTTTAGTGATAGTGATTCTAGTTCAGTGATATTTCCGCTCACCTTAGCACAGAGTGCCATTTTGAACTATTGTGATTGTATAATGTCTGCTATTTGTACCTTAATCTTGTAAAAAGATATTTTCTCCTCAACCATTTCTTATTTTCAAAGATTGAGTAGCAACAAATGCACAAAATTTCTGACCAAAGTGTATTTATCCCAATGAAAAAGATATTTGCACCAAACATGCCAAATATGTTTGCATTTATGTGTGGTTTTCATCCCTTAAACAATAAGGGCACCTGTATTTTATTTTTGACCTGTAAAATTTTACACCTGTATTTTTTAGCTGAAAAAATTTTACACCTGTATTTTTAGACCTGTAAAATTTTACACCTGTATTTTAAACAGCTGTAAAACAGTACAACTTTTTTTCGACCCATAGAAAAAAACAGTTAATTTACATATTTCGTTCATAGTACAGGTGTAAAACAGGTGTATTTTTGAAAAAACAGGTGAAATTTGCTATATGTTTATCAAAACTGAAGAAAAATACAGCTGTAATTTTTAACAGAAAAACAGGTGTATTTTAGGCAAAATTACAGTAGTAAAATTTCGTACAGGCCACATAGGTTTCAAATCTGTAATCACTATAGCCATCAGTTTTCATTACCAAAAGACCTCTTAAAATGGAATTATTCTGCTCTACTACATATACATTCTTCCAATGAGCAAACACATTCGGCGGGGGATGGCCATGTTGACATGGCTCTTGTTACTTTTGAAATGTTAAAGTTAAATAGGAATTAATAACAATAAGCAAATTTCAAAAGATTAACTTTATTTCAAAAGCAATTGAAATTGATATTTTTAAAACTTGAATATGTCAATTTATAAAAATAGTAAATGCGATGGAAAATGCACAGACACTTGGGGTTTGGAGCTCAAAACGCCTTTAAAATCCAAATAAAATGCATATTTGTCAATCCCAGCACATGTACTGATCATATATATCAAAAAAACTTAATATAAGCCGATTTGAAAAAATTTCATATTTCAACATCTATAATAATTATAGATGTTGAAATATGAAATTTTTTCAAAACGGCTTATATTAAGTTTTTTTGATATATATGATCAGTACATGTGCTGGGATTGACAAATATGCATTTTATTTGGATTTTAAAGGCGTTTTGAGCTCCAAACCCCAAGTGTCTGTGGGAAAATGTGCCAATGTAGACCAATCCAATATAAATTTAGTCTTAAATTTATGCTAAAAATAAAGCTTTAAGAAAACTCTATGGTTATAGTTATTTGTCAAATGAAAAACAAAATAGAATGTGTTCTCATTATTTAAGGTGCTGAATCTGATGCAGATGACATCATTTCCAGTGCCGGGGAAGTTGGGAGTGCCGTCCAACATTTGCCAAGGAAAGTGACATTGATGAAAAGTGAATATGAAAGCTGAAATTAGAAAAACATCAAATGAAGGAACATTACGAGAAAATTCAACAGACCGATATGTTGAAAAATAAGAAAATTAATGACCTAACAAAACAATGTGCAATATTTCGGGAGCAATTGGAGAGTATGAAAATGCAGACATGTTGTGCATTAACACCAAAATTTGAACATCCTGAGGGCAGCGAGAATATTAACTTGAACTTGACACCAGACTTGTTCACATCACCTGTCAAAAATACACAATCTGAGCATTCAGAGAAGCCAAGTACTTCCTGTGATACTGCTTTATCTGAAAGATCACTTGGGAAATCCCAGAAAAGATCGTGTGATAGTGAAGACACAGAGAACCAGGAACAAACAAAATACCTCAAAATTACGTCTGCAGCGGAGAAAAAAGCTTAAAAGTTGAAGCGTTTCAAAAGTGAAAGTGCTATCAAAGGTTTTAATTCTATAACAACATTAGCTTCCATGAATATATTTAAGAAACATGAACTTGGCGGGCACAGTAACAATCAATGTAGCATTGTACAGAAGGGTTTTGACAGCCTTGGAGGTCATAACACGCATATTTATTAAAACCCTATTGGAAACCCATTTAAAAAGCCGACAGTCAAGAAAAGCTTTAGTCAAAGTAAACTGTCCAAGTTCAGTAAAACACCATCCTTAACCAAAACTTGATAATGTTGTGATTTTTGATGAATAGAACTAATTATTGCGGCTCAGTTTCTAATTTACTAACATGTTGACTTGGGAATATAATTATACATGTTATATATACAATCATTGTTACAGAGATAGTATGCTGAAATGTGTCATTTACTATCAAAAGACAGGAACATAATAAGGCTATAGTGTTTGCATGCCAGTTGTAACACTTATTATTAAATGATTTCATTCCAATAGTTATTATTTAATGGTATAATTCTAATTACAGATGTGTCAGTAACAGTTTTCTATTGTTGCTCTTATATTTTCACTGGTACTTAACTCTTATATTTTCACTGGTACTTTACTCTTATATTTTCACTGGTACATTAAAAACTTTGAAAACGGACCCTGTCGGACAAGGCCAAAAGTCTGGTTTTCAGTGAGGATTCTGGTTTTCAGAGGTTTTATATACAATACAGTCATCTTTTATAATTACAGTATGTTTGTAAATGTACTTCTAAATGGTCTTCTGTTTTCTTTTATCTATGTTTATGATAGTCTAAGTACCAGACTTAAGTTTATTTTAATATGACTACAAAATATGTTGATTTAGTTCATTTCAAATTTTAACTATTTTATTTCATATAAAATGATTTATTTAATAAATAATCACATAATAATAACAATTTGCACTAGTCATCTGTTCTATTGAGCATTCATAACATTTATACATGAATGATTTATGTGTACAATATGCATATATTCATCTGGAGTAAGTTCATACATAAGATAATTAAATAGAGGATATTTGTTTAGTTCAGTGTAAGATCGGAATATATTTCACCGAGTGAGCACCAAAAGGTATATTTCACGAGTGGCGCAGCCACGAGTGAAATATGAACTTTTGGTGTTCACGAGGTGAAATATATTTCGATCTTACATTAAACTAAACAAATTTTCTTTTTATCATATGCAAAAAAACGTTTAAAAAGACATTTTAACTTAGTACTAAATGAAAAGGGCGCCAAATATAATATAACGTGACGTCATTTTCGACATCAGGTCATTAAGTTGGTTTCCAGTAAGTACTGTGAACGCTTGTATTTCACTGAAACAACGTACTGGGCTCAAATATTCAAAACAGTGAAATTATCAAATCGATAATTTCACTGTTTCAAACAGTGAAATTACCAGCTTTTAACTCACTGATATATTTCTATAAACCACCGAAAAGCATGTAATAAATTATGTTTAAACATTTATTTAATATGCATGTAACAAACATTCATTTAATTTGTGAACATTTAATTATGTATTCTTTAGGTTTATATGTTTTTCTCAGTATTGTACTTTAGTCTTATATTTTCACTGATACTTAGTTTACAAAGGTTAATTGATATGAAACTCGCCTGTAAGTATCTGCACATTCATAGTAGTGCTAATTTTGGTCTGTCTGTCTGCCGGTCTGTCCGTCAGTATACCACATGGTTTCCGCTGATTATCTTAAAAACTATTTATAACAAAGTCTTCATATTTAACATATTGATTAGTTATATGAAGAAGATGACCCTTATTGATTCTAGGGTCACTAGTTGGTCAAGGTCACACGGGCATTAAATGTTAGAATGGTTTCCGCACATTATCTTGAAAACTATTTATCACAAAGTCTTTATATTTGGTTTCCGCTCATTATCTTGAAAACTATTTATCACAAAGTCTTTATATTTATATTTTTCAAAATGATTGGTTATAACTAGTAGATGACCAGTAATGATTTTTTGGTAACTAGTTCAAAGGTCATGGTCACAGGGGTCTTACATGTCAGAGACAAGTTGCCATATAATAGGCAAATTCACACAGAAATTCATAGCTTTCAACAGCAACTTCCAAATGTATACTAATCAACATCAAGGTCAATGTGAATATGTTTAATTCCTTTTTAGCTCGACTATACGAAGTATATGGAGAGCTGTCCTACTCATCCCGTCATCGGCGTCCGCGTCCAGATTTCAGATTAAAGTTTTGGTGCAGTAAAATATTTTTATCTATAACTGTCAAACTTCAAATATATATTCCTTATCATCAATGGCATCTTATGTGATAAGGTTCATAACTCTAGCACCAATATTTTCAGATTTATCTCCCCTTGTACTTAGAATTTTCCTTAAAAAATACTATTTTTACTGTTTCTTCTTTATTTCTTAAAGGGTCAACCTCATACTTCAAATATATGTACCTTATTATCATCCCCATCTTATGTGACAAGGTTCAAAACTCTAGCACCAATATTTTAAGATTTATCTCCCCTTGAACTTAGAATTTTCCTTAAAAAATACTATTTTTTTTACTGTTACTTCTTTATTTCTTAAGGGATCAACCTCATACTTCAAATATATGTACCTTATCATCATCCCCATCTTATGTGACAAGGTTCATAACTCTAGCACCAATATTGCAAGAATTATCTCCCCATAAACTTAGATTTTTAACTAGAAAAATGTTATTTTTTACTAAAACTTTTTTAGTTTTAAAGGTATCTACCTCAAACTTCAAATACTTATTCTTTATCATCAATTACATTTTATATGACAATGTTCTTAACTCTTGAAGCAATTTTTACAGATTTATCTCTCTTTGAACTTAGGATTTTCTTTAAGAAATAATATAACTTCCTTACTTTTTAAGGTATCTACTTCAAACTTCAAAATATATATTTCTTATCATTACACACATGTTGTGTGACAAGGTTTCATAACTCTAGCTTGACTATTTCTAGAATTATTTCTCTTGATCTTGGAATTTATGTTAACAAATGTTATTTTTTTTTACTATAACTTAATATAATTATACATAATTGATTTTTTCTTTCATAGTTTTGTCCTCCTTACTGCGTCAGTATTTTATTAGTCAAGCTTGGCTGTCTCCTGTGACAGCTCTTGTTTATGACTAATGCTGCATGTAAAACTTTTCCAATCAAAGGCAAGAAAGTTGTCAACATCAATGGTGTACAAGT